ATCTCGCTGCATTTGCATATCGAGAAGAGGAAGTGTCCGGAGCCCTGTGCTGAGAGATAAAGAGGGTGGGCCACGTGCCTGCGGGAGCCAGGCTCTTTGAAGGAGGCTCAGGCTGGGCTGGGCTGTGGTGTGTCTCCCTGAGGGGAGCTGGAACCGGCTGCTGGTTGGTCTTGGTCACTCTGACTCACAGTGACCCTGCAGTGGAGGAGAGCTGTCCCGCAGGACGGCCCGGGCTGTGATCTTTTAAAAAAATCATTTCGCTGGGGGCTCTCACAGCTCTTATAACAACACATACATCAATTGTATCAGTCACATTTGTGCATAGGTTGCCATCATCGTTTTCAAAGCATTTTCTTTCTACTTGAGCCCTTGGTAGAAAGGGCTCCTCTTCTTTCCCCTCCCCCCACACCCTCCCACTCTCGTGAACCCTTGATAAATGAGAAATTATTATTTTCATATTTTACACCGTCTGCTGTATCCCTTGACCCATGTATCTGTTGTTCATCCACCTGGAGTGGGGGTGGGGGGGTTATTATGTTGTTCATTGGGATCAGTTCCCCTGGGCGACGTTCACTGGAGCTGAGTATGGGTGGGTTTGAACAGATACATTTCTGGTTAACAGCTGAGGGGGGTTGAATGGATACATTTCTGGGTAACAGAACCTCTGGATTAGAGACTAATCTTTACTCCCTCGAATATAGACTCATAATGGTGTCCAGACAGGCTCTGAGTGCAGGTCATTGCCCATTTGCCTCACACCCACCCTCTAGGACAGGGCAGAACTGCCCCTGTGGGTTTCTGAGACGGAAACTCTTTACCGGAGTAGACAGCCTCATCTTGAGTAGACAGCCTCATCTTTCTCCAGAGGAGCAGCTGGTGGTTTCGAACTCTTGAGCTTGAGGCTTGCAGTTCAATGTATAACCACGACACCACCAGAGCTCCTCGAGGCAGGAAACACAAAACCCAAGAAGCCCACTGCCGTCAAGTGGATTCCAAAGGAGAGCGACCGAGGTAAGGTTTCCAAGACCGTACCCTGGAAAGGCTGCTGCAGACCCCACCTTTCTCAGGCAGAGCAACCGGTGGGTTTGCACCGCCCACCTTGTCTGTGGGAAGCAGCCCAGCGCTCACCCGCAGACCGGCCAGGGCCCTGGGGGGAGACCAGAGGATGGAGAAAAGGGAGGAAAAGAAGCTCTTCATTGAGCTGTGAGGTAGCTGAAGGTGATCCGACGCTGTGCTGGAACACAGATTGGGTCGTAAACATCAACGGAAAGGTGGATTTCTTTGTGGGCGACCTCCAATCGTAAAAGTGCGACTTGTCCTTTCAAAACGGAAACCCAGTCGAAGCAAAATCGCTGCGCGCAAGGCCACAGCCTCCATCACAGACGCTTTGCATCGATCCATGCGAAATGCGAACATGACGAGCCGCCAAGCAAAGGGAGTGTAAGCCACAAAGGACATCGCAGGACAGAAACACAAGGTGCTGGAGAGCTAAGAGAGGCTAATGAGGAGCAAGCGGTCCTCAGCTTGCTTTCTCTCACTTAGAAGAGTGGCAAAGATTCACAAATCTGATAACACTCCCTTGGCAGGGTGTGGGGAAATCGACATTGTCATATCCGGAGTTGGTGGGGAAGAAAAGAAATGATACAACCTGGTTGAGAAGCAAAGTCTTATCTTTATCCAAACGAGCAATCCCCACACCCTTCGGCCCAGCCTCTGATCTGTCTGCCAGCGCGTGGGGTTGGGTGTGTGCGTCAGTGTGGCAGATGGACAGACTCCCCGGGCCACCACCGCGGGTGGAGGTTGCGATCTTCTCATGCACTTCCTAACAACCGGGAAACCGAAGCTACGGACCCCTGTACACAAGCTCTTCGTTGCAGGGTTGTTCACGGTAGCAAAGAGCTGGACAACAGCCACTTGTGGTCCCTCATCAGGGGTTGGGTCAAGTGAATGATTATGCATCCACCACGCTTTGAATGGCAGTAAGCCATCTCTACTGGCCGACTTCTCTCGCTCTCTTTTTATTAAGGAGCCTTGGTGGGTGCAGTGACTAACAACTTGGTAGCCAACCCTGAAGACCAGTGGAACCCTTCAGCGGCTCCTTAAGAAACAGACGTGGCGTCTGCTCTCATCGTTCTTGGACACCCTGTGGGGCCAGTTCTACTCTCTCCCATAGGATCCGCATAGGATGCGTTTGGCTTCACGGCGATTGTTAATTTGGGACGACCTCTAATATTGGGGGTGGGGGGGATCACATTTCGTAACAGTATATATAGTAAGATAGTCTTTGTATTTGGAAGGTCTCCTCTTCCTCAATGATCCTCTAGTGCAGGGGTGTCAAACTGGCAGCACCTGGCCCACATGTGGCCCCTGAGGCAATTTTTTGTGGCCCACCATGCTCTGAAATAAAATGAAAATAGAAAAAATTGTTATGAATAGCACTTAGGGGAGATCAAGGCAATACCGTACACACAATTCCATCATTACAGTTTATTTCACAGCAGCGTGGGCCACGAAAAATTACCACAGGAGTCGCATGTGGCCCGCGGGTCACCGGTTTGACACCCCTGCACCATTGTCATCAAGCATGGTGTCCTTCTCCAGGGACTGGTCTGGTCCCTTCAGGCACCTGCCAAATTCCCTGCCATCGAGTCAATTCCCACTCAGGGACATTATAGGACAGAGTAGAGCTGCCCCTGTGGGGTTTCTGGGCTTTAAATCTTTACCGGAGCAGACAGCCTCATCCCTCTCCCAAAGAGCGGCTGATGGATTCAAACTCCTGACCGCTCAGTCAGCAGCCCAACACGTAACTCACTCCACCACCAGGGTTTCTTGTCTTCCCAGAAGAAATAAGAAAATAATGAGTCGCCCCTCACCTTAAATGCTAAAGCAGCGGTTCTCAACCTGTGGGTCAAGACCCCTTTGCGGGGGTCAAACAACCCTTTCATAGGGGTCGCCTAAAACCATCAGAAGACACATATTTCTGATGGTCTTAGGAACTGAGACACCGCTCCTCTATCCGTCGCTGATCTGGTGAGAAAGAAGCTATCTCAACCTTCGCACTGACGTTGGCTTCTGAGGTAGTTAGTTTATTGTGTCAACCTGGCCGATAAACACATGTGGGGTAATTGAAGGGCAGAGGGATAAATGGCCTTTCTAGTTCTCCGGTCTCTTGCTTTCTGATGGTTGGACCAGGGTGCAGCTGCCTTAGGCAGTTCCCTGCTTTAACTGGCAAGGCTCACTTCCTGCAAGACATCCCTGAGGAGAAGCTGTATGGACCTACCCTGATGCAGCCCTGGGTGCTGGAGCACCCATGTGGAGACCCCTGCCAGCACTGAGATGCTTACACATTCACTGACGTGGCTTTCCTCCTGTAGTCGGCATCATTGCATGTGTTTTGTGAGATGGAGGAGGACTTTGTGGATTGGTGTTGGACATATGGGTTAATGTTGGACTTGTGGGTTTGGGAATGTACAAGAAATGCACCAGGGGCACAGGGAAGTGTGGATGTGCGTGAATAACAGTGTGTCAATATCTGCCCATGGGGACCATATCAGGCCTCCCAGGAACATATGGCGTTGCTAATAAGGGATGTTGGGGGCCAGCAGGAGACACCCGTGAACTCTCTGAGCTTTCTTTTTTTAAATCATTTTATTGGGGGCTCATTCTCTGAGCTTTCTGTATCATAGTTCCGCACATCTGAAACTGCTTGTGAAAAATAAAATCTGCTTTATTTTAAAGTATTGCCTCTTCTCTCACTGGGAAATCTCTGAACCAGAGAATAGGTGCACTGGTGGTGCCTTGGGTTAAGCGCTGGTCTGCTCACTGAAAGTCCGGTGGTTCAAACCCACCCATCACTCGGTGGGAGAAAGATGAGGCTTTCTGGACCTATAAAGATGGGCCCTGGGGCACTGGGAGTTGGGATGGGCTCAGGGGCTGTGGGTGGAAGCAGAGGAAGGGAGAGCCTTCCTTTGAAGGTACAGAGGAACTATGATTTCTGGCATGGCCTCCAGCCCCAACCTCATGGTCACCCGGTCAATGTCAACTACTGGTCACCCTACAGGACAGGGTAGAACTGCCCGTGGGCTCTGAGACTTTCAGTCTTGATTAGAGTCAAGTAGTGTAGTGAAGAGTAGAAAGCCCCATTTTTCTTTCTCCCGAGGAGTTGGCTAGTAGTTTTGAATTGCTGACCTTGGGGTTAGCAGCCCAACACAGAACCACCATGCCACCAGGCCTCATAACCACCATGCCACCAGGCCTCCTCATAACCACAATGCCACCAGGCCTCCTCATAACCACCATGCCACCAGGCCTCCTTGGCATGTCCTAGTTTGAAGCAAGTATAGGCCTCACTCACCAGCAGCGGGATGCCGGAGGGAAGCCGGGTCGCCATTGGGGGGATGCTCAGCCTTCAGGAAAATGACCCCTGGGCAAAATCTCCAATGAAGAGGGAGGGAGTCCCAGAAGTCCCTGGGGCCTGGGGTGGCTTAGGCTTGGCAGGTGCTCTGTGACCTTCCGGAGTCCCTCTGCTGTGTGACACGAAGGAGCAGGAATAAAAGGATAGCCGTCCCTCTGGTGTGGCAGGGGAAGGGGGGCATCGGTGCAGGGAGCTCAGTGGAAGGGGCATGCTGGACCGCAGCTGTGCCTGATACCTGCCCAGCTCAGCCCCAGCAGATCCCTTCTGCTCCCGCACTGGCCAGGGCAGCTAGCTGGTGCTGCAGAAGACCCCCAGACTTGGGGGCGGGGCTTCTCTCAAACGGATGGGGCATCAGGCGGAGTGTCCGCATCCATGTCCAAATGGCCCCGCTGGCCTCTCCCTGGAGCCCCCGGTGCTCAGAGGCGGGGCCGGGATTGCGGGCAAGGTAGCCGAGCTCCAGCTCGAAGGAGGGTCAGCTGTGAGACGTAGCTCCTTCCTGCCGGGCTCCTGGTCTTCCTGGTTTCGAGGAAGGGGATACCAAGGCTTGACCGGGGTCCGTGCTCACGACCCCTCTGCTCTGTTTCAGGTATCGGAACTGCGTGTACACGTACCGAATCCTGCCCAACGAGGACAAGTTCACCGTTCAGGTACGTCCTTTAAGGCACAGAAATCGGGCTGCCCTGGGACCGCTATGGCAGAGAAAGCAAACCCCAGGAGGAAAAGGAGCAAGCAAAGCCAGGTGACCGTCACCTGCAGGGTGGGCGGGCTTCTCCTCCAGAAGTCCCTGGGGCCCGGGGTGGCTTAGGCTTGGCAGGTGCTCTGTGCCCCTCCGGAGACCCCTGCTGTGTGATGCGACGGAGCAGAAATGAGAGGTTATCGATCCCGCGGTCATAGGGCGCGGGGTGACAGTGCAGAAAGAGGGGCGTGGCCTGTGCTTTTCGACAGACTTGGGGGCTGGGGAGCTGGGGATGAGAGGGGGCAGTGGAGGAGGGAAGGGGTAGACGTGAACACGTGGGATGACAGAGCCTGCATTCTGTGCCCTGGGCATGTGTCCAGTGGATGAGAACGAGGCCCAAAGACGCCACATCGGACGGCTCCCGGCGACCCTTGTGTGCGGCAGTGAGCACCCCACAGGACCTTTCTGGGCTGTCGTCTTCAGGCAAACAGATCACAGGCCTCTCTTCCTCCTCGCTGCCGGGTGGATTCGCACTTGTCCACCCCAGGCCCGTGGGAGAAGCCTGCTCCTTGCCGTGGGTGAGAGCTCTGCCCCCCGCACCACCCCGGGGGGCTGCTGTCCACGGCGTCCGCGTGAGGCATGTCCAGGGCTTGGTTCGACCACAATGGGTGACAGTGTGGCGGCAGAGAAAGCTATTTGTATCTGGCTGAGATGATAACTCGGGGGTGGGGGTGGGGGGGGGGAGTGGGGGGTGGCAAAAGGCATGCCTGCACGTGGTCGGGTGTGCATGCACGTGGTCAGACGTGGGACATAGAGAGACACAGCAACCAGCAGGCAGTTGCAGGGACCAGGGAGCAGATGGCAAGTCCTGGAGTTGCAATGACAGGCCCTGCGGGGCTTAGTCAAGAACGTGGGCTGGGGTGGGGGTGGGGGACAGGGTCATGCCCCCCAGACAAAGCGGGAGAGCCACTGTCTGCCAGTCGTGTCTGAGGTGGCACGGTGACCTGCCAGGCGGCAGAGTAGAATGGCCCCCTATGGTGTGGGGGAGGGGGTTGCCTGGCTGCAGCCTTTTTAGGAGGAGATTACCAGGCCTTCCTCCTGAGGCACAGCTGGGAGGGCGGGAGCCACCAACCTTCCGGTCAGTTGCCAGTTGTGTGCGTGGTGTCGGGATTCTTGGCCTTGAAGGGAATGGTCAGTTCTGTCTGAGTCGCTCGGGACCAGAGGCAGAGCGGGAGCCAGGGTGGGCGGGGTCCCAGGTGGGTGGGGCCCAGGCCCGAATCACCAGAAATGCTCCCAGAGGAAAGGGCTAGGCTTCGCAGGATGTTGTATGGGGCTCAGAGAACTGAGAACTCCCCCTGGAGACATGCTTAAACCAAGCCAGGTGGTCCCGAAGCTGCCCTTTCGGCCTCCTGGGTCTGCATCTCCCGCTCGTTTGTGCTGCAGCGGAATTGCTATGCTGGGGAGAAATCAGCCTGAGCCCTACTCCGGCTGCTCATCTCCCTGCGCATGCTTCCAGCACCAGTGCTTGACTGTGGGCTTGAAGGTTAGCAGGTGGTCTAGAAGGGCCACCCGGCTCAACTCCAGGAGCTGATGTGGACACACGTATTGTAAGACAGTCCTTTCAGGTGACTGGAGCCCTGGTGTTGCTGCCGGGTAGACATTGGACTGCTTGCCTCAAAGTCAGTGGTTCAAACCCACCAGCTGCTCTGCAGGAGGAGGATGAGACTGTTTGCTCCCATGAAGAATCACAGCTTCCGGGAACTCTAACTATGTTTGCTCTGAGGAAAGGGATGTTTTTGTGGGGGGATCGTGGGCTCTCATGCTGCCTCTCATCAGTTGGGGATGTAGTGGTGGAGAGGAAGAAGGCTTTGGGCAGGTGGTTGGTTTTGTAGGCCTTGACATATCTTTCTAAGTCTCGGACTTGGCACAGCGAATAATGAGTCGAGCAGTTCGAAACCACCAGCTACCCCGTAGGAGAAAGACGAGGCTTTCTCAGGAACGCCCTGGGGCAGCTCCACCTGCCTTCTAGGCTCACAGTGAGTCAGCCTCGGCTGGATGGCAGAGCTTTGTTTTGAGGTTCCAGTTTCATGTTTGCACAGAGGACTCGGTGAACCTGACCTTGAGGACCACGTGAACTTGGCCTTCACAGATGGTTTGCTTTCTCACGTTAAAATCTGATCAAAGTGTTTGGTCTCTGTTTGTTTTCCTTTATGGTCCCTTCCGTTCTCAAAAGGGAAGAAACTTTAAGAGTGACTCTGCCTGGACCCGGAAAGGAGTTCTTATTCCGTAGTTTATACCCCCGGCCTGTGGGCAAGTGGAAGGCTTCACACTGGGAACACTGGCTTCGTGGGATCCTGGGTCCCTGGGAATTTCAGCTTGGCTCCAGCAGCTTCTGAATCTGGAGGGGCACCCTGCTTTGGGGGTTTCCAGGGCTCACGTTGGCGACCTTATATAGGGAGGAGGGGACAGACTGCAGTTCTTCGATGGAGCTGCCTTCCCCTCCCACCTGCTCAATTCTGGGTCCCCAGCCCCAACAGGGGCCTGACACCCCCAGCCTTTCTCCACACAGCCACTCAGGGGTCATGGCCTGGGCAGGAATGGACCCTCCGGGAATCAGGAATCCACTCAGGCCCACTCAGCCCGGGAACCATGTCATAGGGTCAGGACGTGGTTACCCCAGGCCACTGGCAAGATGGCCGATGGGCAGGCGGTTCTCAGAAGAGGTGTGGGCCTGGCAGGTGCCCCGTTCAAGGTGTCCGCTGCGTCCCTCGGCACGGTGACCAGCAGCAGGTAACCAGGTTGCTCCGTGGCCCTGGTGGTGTGAGGAAGTTTCCACCTTTGGGGACATGCCTTCTATAACAATGCCACCTGAAAACCAAACAAACAAAGAAACCCACGCGTGTCCGTTGGGCTGATTCTGACTCATGGGGAGCCCCACGGGGGTCAGCGTACAACTTGCCCCATCGGGTTGTTCACGGGCTGGCTTTTCACAAGCAAATCACCAAGCCAATCTTCCGCGGTGCCTGCGGGTGGGCTCCAAGGGTCCACCTTCCCG